AAACTATTTTTTCCCGGAAACGTTTTACTAGCTCGTTCCATGTGGTGATAGATCCAAATCGTATAGCCATTCTTTTGGTGCACCATGAACTGAAAAAGGGGAATGCCCTTAACTTGATCTAGTCTTCTATAATAACACGTGGATTCATCCCAGCACAGACAACATGAAACTCCTTGAGATATTTGTGTGGGTATTCGTTCTCAAGGCCTCAGAAAGTAGTGAACAGATGGATTAGTCCACACTTCAATTCAAAGTTCGGAGATTGTAGGAAAGTGATACACATAGGCTGTTGCATAACCTCTTTTTTTGCCCATTCTCTGAGAGTCTTCTCATGATCATCTCTTGCGTCACTAATGGTTGGTTTTGCGTTAGAGTATGAATCGAATGATTTAGTGTTCTTGGATTTAACTGAAGGTGTAGGTGAGTATTTTTTGTATAGGCTGTGAGAAGGTGAGGACGGGGGTGCTTTTCAGGCATGATGAAATGGTGAAACCTGGTTCGTTCCACAAGGGATTGCCTTGTGGTGTGGTGATTTCAGATGGTAGGGAGGATGTAACTGATGAAACCGCTTGTTGCTTATGAAGTTCAACTATCTTCTTCATCCTCCTTGCGGTTTTCTTAATTTCTAGATCGAAAACTAGAGGTGTACCTGTACAAAAAGTTATTGGCATACAAACTATTAGTAGCACCATATCCCCGACAAGGATGCCAATTTGTTAAACCACCATCATACACGAGTAAAGCAAATAAAATTTGACTGCTCGAATACACTAAAGGATAACACAGGGAAGCAGGGTCGTATCCACATGTAAACAGTCTAACAGTCAATGCCATTTTGCGTAAGGCACACACTAGTCAATAAACAAAAAATATGAAAAAGGGGTTTTTTGATTATTAATTAAAACTAAAATAGCAGTGAAAATAACTAAAGCAAAATTCCGTAAATAAAACCAAATTTTGTTCTGTTGCGACTCTCCTAATCATGCAATCAATCTAGACACGATTATTCAAAATGTGTTATATTTAAGCTGGTACTCAGAAAAACTAACATGCTCTAGTAATTCCTTTTTAAGTAAGTAATTAACTAAAATAAGCTCTCCAGTTAACCATGACTTTTTACTATTCTAACTAAACGAACTCTTAACTAAATTCAGAAAAGATGCATTATAATCTATGTAAAATTCACAGCAATATCCAATACTTCTCACAAGCTCGAAAGCGTAAATATATGAATTTTCAGTTTATAATAACGTCAAATCTGAACATAGAACCAATTTATTACTTGTTACTTATTACCAGATTGTAAAACAATTACAAATTTCAACAACTGATTAACTAGAATGATTAAACCGTAACTAGATGATCAGGCTAACAAGAATTGTTAGGCGTGTCAAACCCAACAAATAAGGGGGGGGGGGTACAAATGATTGCAAAAACACTACTACTTTGCATAAAAAATATAATACAAGATAAGTAGCATCGATCCACAGAGACACGGGAGATGTGCTTATACCCTTTTTGCGTAAGGTATAAATGGGATCACAAAAGAGGGGGTTTATATGCAATGATTCAAATAAAGGACTTAGGTAATAAGTAAGCAATTGACTAAGTAAAGTAAATTCAAGATTTGTAAGTACTCCAACTCCATGCAAGACAAATTAGCAATACGATTCCAAGGATAAAATGATATATGTTCAATTCTACCTAAGTTGGTATTTAGAAATGCTAACAAGATCTAGCAATTCATATTCATCATTTTAATTAATCAAAATAAGATCTTTGATTAATTCTAATGTAACCAATCTAATCTAAACAAGTTCTTAGAATTAGGTGGAAAGATTGCATTATGCTTTGTGTGAATTTTATCAACAACATTACATACTCCTCATAAGCTTGTGTGTGTAAGAATGTGTGAATTTGATTTACATCAAAATTATTCAAAGAAAATTCAATTTAGTGTTTGTTACTTGTTCTATATTACAAAACAATTACGAATTTTGTATAATAGATAACTTGAATGAGTCAACCCTAACTTAATTGGCCAAAAAGAACTAGAATTGAAACCAAACTATCAATTAAAACAAAATCAAGTTCACTAGATAGCATTTTAAACAAACATCAAGTCACAAGATTGAAGTCACACGCAATAGTCAATACATGAAGTTGGAGAATCTAGGGTTCTAGCCACACATGATTAAAACAAAACACAAATCAAGAAATTAAAGTTAAAATCTTACAAATTGAAATCCATAATACAATCCAAATGTTTCCAATCACTAATTTTCTTCAAAATCATCCTCAAAATCGCCCCAGAAACTCCTAAGTTCAACTTAACTCCTCTTAGAACCAGTTACACCTTTTTAGAAAGAAGATAAACTGCTTTAAACTTATGACCACGTTTATACGACCCGTGTAAATTAACATTAATCGTTTACACGACCGTGTAAACACAAAAAGTACGTTGACAAATTGGTTAGGTCTTCAAAGTACAATGCTTGGGAGTATGCATTTACACAGCCCATGTAAACAAAAGGCTTACATTTACACGGCCGTGTAAACCTCTGAATGACCAAAATCCTCATTTCTTTGATATCTTCCTCCTAGGTGCTCCGCAAGTCCCGAAACTTCATCCACATCTCTTATTCATCTCTTCAAGTAAGATCCTACCTCCAAAAGTCCTTGAAATATCAAAAAAGTGTATGAATGAAATTGCCTTATGAAAAATCCCGAAAACATGCAAAATGCATGAGTTTAAGCCTATATGCAATGCACTTTTATGAAGTAAAACTACAAAATGGATGCATGAAATGCACCTAACAAATCCCCAAGCTTGAACCTTTCTTGTCCTCAAGAAAGAACAAAAACAATTTAAACCGGAGAAAATAAAATAAAAGAGAAGAAAATCAAAATTAAAATCAAAATCCAAACTTTTGAAACTTAATGCAAAAAAAAAAAAAAAAAAAAAAAATCAAAACAAACATGAAAAAGATCCAACCCAATTAACCTCGTTGTTGTAGCATGGCTGAGTATGCACCTGTCGTGCCTTGATTCCACTTGGCTTTAGTCTCAAAATATCATACAACAATAGAAATAAGACTTTGGCCACTCCTTAATGCAACTCAACAGAATCAAAGATCACAACACTTGTTTCCTCTTAATAGCTTCAAGTCAATTCATGGAACAAATTATGTTCTTACTCTCGTGAAATTATATGTGACAAAACATGCTCAATCATCTTTGTTTTACAAAATATGACAATGACCGACTCCGGCTATTTGTTGATTAACAAAAATCGTTTTCTAAAAAATATATTCTAAAAATTCCCTAGTATTTACCCAGATTGATTACAAATTTCAAACCACTTACACCAATCGAAATAATTAATAGTCAGTCCTAATGTCATAAATTCAAGTTCAAGTCCAAAGGAATCTTTTGGCAGCCAAGCATTTTTCCTAAACATATTATTCAATTAAACTATAAACATAAATACATACAAACTATTTAATTACATTTCCTACAAATAAAACTCATGGCTTTCTTTGAAATCCGTGTAACGAACTTTCAACCCAGTCGGTCCCAAACAATTTAGCTTTAGGCAATTAAGTGTAGAACACCCCTCAGAGTTTACTAATTCGAGTACCAAAGGTTACCTATTAACTTAATAATAATTTTTTTTAATTTTTTTTTATTATTTTTTTTAAACACAAACTAAGATAACACATAACACTCTTATAAATTTATTTGCTAGGCCTGTTTCTTTATATTTCTGTCTTTGACTTTTCTATTGGGGGACATCTCACGGTCTATTACCATGAGGGGCTTCTAAGACATTTTTCAAGGCATTGAAATCAACATGCAAATATCCGTAAGTATAGCTGGAAACTATGTCCCCAAGCAGGTATATAAAAGGGAATGAATAGAAATGACTTTCTAGAGTGCTGGCAGGCTCGGAAACTGAAATTTTTTATTCTTTTTATGATTTCTTGAATTTGACATTTTAAGTTCAATTGAGCACGTACTATTCATAAGACCAGTCATTCGTCCTAAAGATCGACTCATAGCTGTTGTTATGCTCCAATGTTGACAATCATCTCACTTTCTGTTTTGCACAAGTAGCTTCGGGAGGTGTGTTCGTGTGTGTTTAGCTTTGTTTTTAGATTTTCAATAAAAAAAGCAAGTCTAATCTCAAGGCACATGACTCACTTACCAGCTCAACTGTTTTGAGAAGATTCGGCTGCTTGGGATTGGATCAAAATAAACTAAGAAAATATATATATATATATATATATATATATATATATATATATATATATATATATATATATATATATATTACATGAATGCAATGCAAAAATTGAAATACAAAATGCAAAAATATTAAAAATAGAATAGAAATAAAATCTTTTTAGTTTTTGACAAATTTAATATGTAGAAAATGCAAAATGCAAAAAATATTAAAAATAGAATAGAAAGACAATCTTTTTAGTTTTTAAAAAATTTAATATGCAGAAAACGAGAGCAAAATAAACATAAAAATAAAACTAAAAATGAGAATGAAAAACAGAATTATGTGATATGTACACAACTGCAATCTACATGCAACGGGGTCTATGCATGGATGGATGCCCCTCCCCAATGTTAAAATATAGCATCATCCTCAATGCTTGGAGAGAGGCATAGACGACCTATTGAGGGCCGAGCGGTGGTGGATGTAGTGGGAACTGTGGAGGGTAGTAGGGCTGATAATCGGTAGGATAATATGTGGGCCACTAGGGTTGAGATGTTGATGGTTGTTGCTGTGGTGGAATGACAAGTACTTGGTGGAGGTCGCTCATCAAATAGTGAATATTGCAGTTGTGTTGCTCTTAAGCTGCCAATCACTGATCAAACTTAGCCCACCGTAACTCCTGTTGGGCCCAACGATCCTCCTGAAGATTATGGTAGTCCTGAAACTCGGTAGTGTGTTCAACAACACCCGTATAAATCTCTCCTACCTTCTGCTATAGGCTCGTGTAATGGTGGTCTAAGTGTGCAAACTTGCCCATGTAGATGTTGTGTTCAGGAAAAGGAATGGGGACAAACGAGCTAGAAGCACCTACAGTTGGAGCAGGAGTTTGAGGAATGGTGGTTGGAGGTCTACGGGCTACAATAACACCCAAGTTGGACTTGAGGTGGCAATTGGTAGATTGGATGTCATTATCCAAAGCTAGTATCTTCTTATTTCAGCTGTCAATGCATAGATATTCTTTACCATCGATGGTCTAACGAACATCCCCGTTGGGATTGCAGTGAAAGAGGTGCATGGTTTCGATAACGTCAATAGATAGACTAGTGCGGCCCAGAATAATATCGGTTGGCTTGTTGGGTAGGTGGAGGCTAAGATGTTCAACTATAATAGAAACCATTCCACCACAATGAAGCTGGCCACCATTGCTCATGGAATTTCTGAGCATTTTTTGAATTACCCAACACCCGAAGTGAGGAACTTCCTCGGGCTTGTGAATCATGCACCATAAGACTTCCAATTCTTTCTTGTTTGCTTTGCTAATCTCTTCTCAAGGTAACAAGAGAGAAGCAATGATCCGGTGGGTGACCTTAAGAACCGGATGAATGATACTGGAAGCCTTTGATGTGCCCGACTGAAACACGCCTTCACAAGAGATGGTCGTCCAAAATTTTTTGTAGCTTTGCTTAAATATAACATTTTTTCTACCCTTTGTTGTATACACGTCCCTTTTCGCCTTTGGAGCACGAATAATATCACAAAGGGTGTCAGCATGAATCTAATGGGATTGATTGAGCAAATGGAATGTAAGGATGTGTGTTTGGTAATCAAAGTGGATGGATGACAAGAGTTCCAACATGGGTGTTTGATAGCTTAATGCATGGAGATTCAATAGACCTTCCCAACCTATGTTCTTCAAGAGCTTGTGGACCCCTTTATATATGTGAAGGTACTAAATAGTTTGGATGTCCACAAATTTTTTGAGCCCCTTTTACCCATCGAACAAGGCTTGAATACAAAATCTCTTTTGGATTGGACTAAAAAATAAGACCAAAATGATAGGGGTTTTCCATGGAATGTTGGTCTTGTTCATCACTAGTTTCTTGACCACCCATATGTGAGGTCCCAATTCTAGTCCTTTTGCACGGGAAGCCATTGCCCAAAAATTTAACAATGTTTTGTACACAATGTAGGACAATTTTGAACTATGCACAAAAACTAGCAATACCACTAAAAATCACCCCAAAAGAATATGGTTCTAACTATTTGCATAAAGAAAAGAGTTTGGAACAACTATACCAAATTGTGCTTGTAAATGGTGTTAGGGTGATGTCCAATACTTCCCCATGCTTTCCTCAAGCGTATCCAACAAAAAATTACAAACATTAGCACGAAATTTGGAGACCCAAAAATTCTAGGGTTTGCTCAAAACCCCTAAAACCGGCCATCATAGGGTGAAATTGAGAAGTAAGACAAAGAAGATGAAGAAAAGAGAAGAATTTCATACCTTTGAGCTTGATTTTTGGAGAAAAATTGAGGAAGATGGAATGTTTTTGAGGTTTTTTCGAAGGGGGCAGTAAGGAGAAGAGGGTGTGCAGGTTTTGTGAAAAGAATGAGCAAAAAGAATCGATTTTTAGCCTAAAAAACGGCCATCTCTATTTTCACGTTTATACGGGCCGTGTAAATGGTGCATCTGAATTGTGTTGTCTGATCATTTACACAGGTCGTGTAAACCATAGGCATATGTTTACATGACCGTGTATATCTTTGAGAAGGCCATTTTTTTTTTTTGATTTTTTCACCTTTTTAAATTGTAACCCTCTAACCTGCTACTATCTGGAAAATGATTTTTTAACCTCTTTAGACATGAGATACAACTTGGAAACTTGAAAACGAAAAAAATACAATGGAAAATAAGAAATGACAAAATAACCCCCCGGGTTGCCTCCCAGTTAGCTGCCTATTTTTAATGTCATTGGCTTGACTTGGACCCCAATTATTTGTCAATCTTGGTACTTTGGATCCATTAGTTCTTCCACTTCTTTGTTTTTGACTTGAAATACTTCATGATAAGGCTTCAAACCGATGACCATTTACCTTAAAGATCTTCTTGGTTTTCTTACTTGTGATTTCTATTGCTCCACGCAAAAAAACATTAGTGACAACAAATGGTCCCACCCAACGGGACCTTAATTTACTAGGAATCAATTTAAATGAGACTAGTAAAGTAATACCTTTTGACCTTTTTCAAATACATTGCGTGCAATCATCTTGTCATCGTATGATTTTGTCCTTTCTTTGTAAATACTTCATTCTCATATGCTTTATTATGGATCTCCTCAAGCTCTTGTTTGTCAAGATTTCTCTTCTTTCTCGATTCACCTAGATCCATATTGAACTGCTTGATTGCCCAATAAGATCTATGCTCCAACTCAACGAGTAATCGACATGGCATTCCAAATACAATGCGATATGGAGACATCCCAATTGGAGTTTTGAATGCAATACGATATGCCCACAAAGCATAATCAATACGTGTACTCCAATCTTTCCTTATTGTATTCATAGTTTTCTCCAAAATACCCTTGATTTGTTGATTTCTTACTTCGGCTTGTCCATTCGTTTGTGGGTGGTTTACTATCGAAACTTTATGAGTAACACCATACTTCTTCAAGACACTTCAAAAAATCTATCACAACTTTTGAATCGTTAGTACGGGTAGCTTTTTCTTCCACCCACTTAGAAACATAATCCACAACCAAAAGAATGTATGTAAAACCCGAAGATGATGGAAAAGTTCCCATGAAATCAATGCCCCAAACATCGAAAATTTCACAAACTAAAATGGGATTAAGGGGCATTTGATTCTTTGAGCTTAAAGAGCTCATCTTTTGACATTTATCATAACTTGCACAAAAGATATAAGAGTCACGAAAAATATTTGGCCAATAAAATCCACTCTCTAATACCTTTCTTGCAGTTCTTTGAGGACCAAAATCCCTCCACAAGCATAAGAGTAACAAAATGTTAATATAGAAGATACTTCATATTGATCCACACATCATCTAATCATTTGTTTAGCACAATATTTCCACAAATATGTCTCATCCCATACATACCTCTTGGCTTCTTTCTTGATTTATCTTTTTGCCATCGATTCAAATTTGGTGGAAATTGATTTGTGACAATGTAGTTCACAATATCGGCATACCACGGGGCAAATTTTGTAGAAAATAGATTCTCATTAGGAAATGCATCATGAATGGGAGTCGAGTTATCGGGAGAAACAATCGTGCTAACATGATTAACTACAAGGTTTGACTTTCTGCTCTTGTCCTTGATTTCAATATCAAACTCTTGTAAGAGTAATACCTATCGAATGAGTCTAGGCTTCAAATCCTTCTTTGAAAGTAAATATCAAACACTTTAGAACCTAGCAAATATTGGCGAAATTTATCTAAATCAAAGACAATAGATAGAAATTCTTTCTCAGTTGTTGAGTAGTTGGCTTGTGCATTATCAAGTGTTTTTTAGGCATAATAAATGACATGAGGAACTCGATATTTTCTTTGCCCAAAATAGCACCAACTGCATGATTGCTGGCATCACACATGATTTCGAAGGGCAAACTCCAATCCTGTGATTGAAGTATTGGTGTTGATATTAACAACTCCTTCAACTGATCAAAAGCTTGCTTACATTCCTTGGAAAATTCGAATTCTGTATCTTTTTGTAGGAGCTTACACATGGGATGAGATATCTTGGAAAAATCTTTGATGAATCTTCTATAAAAACCTGCATGACCAAGAAACGAGTGTACCACACGAACACAAGTGGGATAAGGTAAAGATTTAATGACATCTATTTTAGCTCTGTTTACCTCTAGATCCTTAGAAGACACAATATGACCCAGTATGAGACCTTTGTCAACCATAAAATGGCATTTTTCATAATTCAAAACATGGTTGGTCTCAATACACCTTTGCAAAATCTTTTTCAAATTATCCAAACATTCATGAAAAGAATGGACATAAACAGTGAAGTCATCCGTAAACACTTCAATGATCTCCTCAACATACTCCAAAAAAATACTTACCATGCACCTTTGAAAAGTGGTGGGAGCATTGCGAAGTCCAAAAGGCATTCACCTATATGAAAATGTTCCGAAGGGACATGTGAAATTAGTTTTTGTTGATCCTCGCGTGCAACGGGTATTTGATGGAAACTGAAATACCCATCTAAGCAACACTAGTGAGTTTTTGCCGCTAACCTTTCCATCATTTGATCAATAAAAGGAAGTGGGAAATGGTCTTTCCAGGTTTGAGGAATTGAGTCTTCTATAGTCTATACAAACTCTCCACTCGTTTTTCACATGAGTGGGGACTAATTCACCTTGGATATTCTTTGTAACGGTTATACCTATCTTCTTTGGTACAACTTGGATCGGGCTTACCCACTTCCTATCCGACATACGATAGATCATCCCTGTATTCAACAACTTTAAAATCTCTTTTTTTTTTACAACCTCCATCATTGGAGGATTCAATCGCCTTTGAGCTTATCGAGAGGGCTTGTAATCTTCTTCCATAAGTATCTTATGCATTCAAAATGAAGGACTTAGCCCTTTGATGTCAGCTATAGTCAACCCAATAGCTTTCTTTTACTCCTTCAAAGTGGTGACAAGCTCTTCTTCTTATTTTGATGATAACTTTGTGGAGATGATCACTGGCAAAGTCTCTTTCTCTCCAAGATACGCATACTTGAGATGCCTGGGTAAAGTCTTGAGTTCCAATTTCGGTGCCTGCACAATAGAAGGAACACGTTTCTCATTAGGCATTGGGAATTTCAGCTTTGGAACATCAAACCTCATTTTCTTCTTTTGACCCATGCAAGATACAACTTCCAAAATATCTTCATTAATCTTGAATTGGTTGGAAAGTTTTTCCAATTCATCCTTTTGAGGATTCCTGTCTAAAATAAGAGCTAACACATCGAGATTAGACAAATCAAAACACTCTTCGATTAATGGTTCAATGACATCCACAAAATTCAAAGATGAAATATCACATGGATATCTCATAGCATCATAGAAGTTGAAATTTATCACCTCTCCATCAAACTCCATGGACAATGTACCATCATAAACATCAATTTTGTCCGGGTTGTTTTCAAAAAGGGTCTTCCTAAAAGTATTAAACTCAAATTTGGTGAGTCATTATCATCCATGTCAAGGAAATAAAAATCTACGGGAAATACTAGTTCATTTACTTGGACTCACCCCGATCTTCTTCAATATGCCAATATTTAAAGTTTTGAAAATAGAATATGGTAAAACATTGATAGAAGCTCCAAGATCTATCATAGCTCGTGGAACATGAAGATTACCTAACTTGCAAGAAACGTGAAAACACCTGAATCCCTTCATTTTGAGGTAGCCTTTTCTATAAC